CCCCCCCCCCCCCCCCCCCGCGAATTTTTATTACAACACAATGATTGACAAAATGCAAAACATAGGTTTCAGGTTATTCGTTATGTGTATTAACAAAACATTTGCACACTTCTTGATGATATAGCTGACATGAACTGAGGGTCCAACACATTCATCTGAGCCCCGTTGACCTTGACCTTGGTGAGCAAACTTAGTAACGCGTATGGCCTCCACGTGCAGCGATTATAGGGAGGCATCTTCTGTTCATAGAGTTAATCAAACGGTTGATCTGGCCATTTTGGATGCCACCGAAGATCTGGATGATGGCTGAAGTCAACTGGGCTGCTATTCGAGGCCGTGGCTGCATCTGGTTAAGCTGTCTTTCAATCACGTCCTACAAATGTTCAATAGGGTTCAAGTCAGGTGAGCGAGGTGGGTGTGCCAATAAATTGACATTGTTCAGGGCCAAGAAGTTCTGGATAGCACGTGAAGTATATGGTCGTGCGTTGTCTTATTGATACAGAAAGTTAGGATGCCTCTGTAGAAAGGGCAGCACATGAGGTACCAAGACTTTTGCAATATAGCGCTGAGCCGTGACGCCGTTTCAACGTCCTGGACCGATGTTCTGGAAGATGACAGGTCCCACTCTATGATTCAACGCCAAGGCTCCCCATATCATCACGCTCTCGCCTCCCCAGGGGTCACACTCCAGAATGTTGTTGTCGTCGTAGCGAGTCGTGTCTCTGCGTCACATACGGACACGGCCATTCGCTGAATCGACGCAGAACCTGTTTTCATCACTGAAGAGGACTCTCTTCCAGTGTGCGTTCAGTCAGTTGACATGCGCATGTGCCTTTAGCCGTTGCTGTCGATGCCATGGTGTTAGGACAGCTATTTGGTAAGGACACCTGCAGTGAAGACCAGCAGTCACTAACCCCCGTGACACAGTCCAGCGGCCAAGTTGGCGTCCAGTCGTTCCCATGGTTGTTCTGGCAGTCTCTGCAGCCGGCAGAAACGGATCGCGGCGGTGCCAACGAAGGATGGCGCGATCATAGGCCGGAGTTGTCACCCTTGGTCTTCCTCTTCTTGGTCGATCTGCTGTGGTCGCTGTCGCTTGTAATCGGTTCGGAAGGTCGATGCCTTGGTGCTTGTGTGGACACCAAAAAATCTGGGACACCTGTTCCACCGACTCACCGGCTGCCATTCGTCCGACAGCTCTTTCTCTGTTTTCCCTTGATAACTTTGGCATGTCTGAAGCTTGTCTGTTTCCATATGAATGCAACATTTCGAGGCGTGGATTTTATAGGCATACGCCCAGGACTGAGTGAGCACAAACTTACCACTCACAACAAGTTACAAGTGTGTCCTGGTGGTGAGTGATGACTCGTTAGTTATGTATTGCTTACGCAGCCAATGACATCATTGCCACGCTCGAGGCAAGTGTTGAGTGATATGAGTTCAAATCACACAACTATGAACTCAGCATTGGGCGATTACAACAACATAAAAAATCGCGTTATTTTTGCACCTCACTATATTAATGAACCTGATTACCGTGGTGATGACGATTATAAAAACATTAAAAAATTCAGGGGAAAGGACATTCATGAAACTTTGTACGTACCACCCCCCCCCTGTCCCCTCTTTCCATCCAAACAACCCAATCAGCACACTTCAGCAAGTTTCTAATTACACAACATCAATCAATACTGTAACAGGTGTCTTCTGGTGTCGTGTCCTATGTCATATTTTGACTTCCGGATTTGCACATCCAATCTGGTGTTTTGTGTTTGTCAAAGCAAATGAGTAACGTCACTGATAAACAGCCGGATGAGTTCATTTCCTTTCGGTAAGGAGTCATACCTTAATTATATTTTTATTTGGTTATACGGGGTGCCCACTATGGATGGGATCGGCCGATCAGCCTGATCGCCCGACTCGATCGCCTCAAAAACAAACGTTTTCGTTTTCAGTTTCAGGCGATCGAGTCGGGCGATCGGCCCGATCCAGCCGTAGAGAGCAAGTAGTTAGGCTACCGGACTCCTAATCGTGAGGTTGCGGGTTCGGGGGTTCGAGTCGTGGGCCCGACGTTGTGTCCTTGGGAAAGGCACTTTACACGAATTTTCCTCATTCAGCCCAGGTGGGAATGGGTACCTGGCCGTAGACAGCGAAAGATCTTGTCAGGATGTTAGTGTTTTAGCGCCTATAAATGGCTGCTTGCCCTGTACGCTTCCCAGGAAGTTGAGGTTGTTTCAGAATGCTCTCAAGTCTGCTGGGGTAATAGTATATTAGCATAAAAAGGCAACTGAAATATATTACGACAACAGTATTAAATCTTTTGGATTTCAAGTCCTTGAGAACCTAAAATACATAACAGTTTAAAAAAAGTTAGGCCTATGTGAATACAACCAACGTCTTGTGTCCTGCACGCTCATGCATTTGAGAGCGCCGTAAGACTTCTACAAAACAGACAACAATATAATTTATGAATATATGTATGTATGTGTGTATA